CAAATCAATTGTTATGCTGCGCAGTTAAGCCAATGTGATGTCAACAGGTGAAATAACCATCAATAAAAATTTCAGCCATTGTATGTTTCTTTCAGATAATCCATCGTGACTTGGCGGCCAGAAATGTTCTTGTTGGTGAAGGAGAGAAATGAAAGGTGACAGATTTTGGAATGGCGAGGAATGTTCAGTAGGATGATATTTCCACTAAACAAAGTTGAGTGAGTATCATAGATTTACCGAGTTTCCCAAAATAATTATCTTTATCTGAGGAAATTTCTCTTGTCAAGTCTACCATAGGATAACACGAGAAGTCTAACAAAAACAGTAGACTAATTAAGACAAAATCCGATAGGAAATCGAGCAATTTCAGCTTTTATTGGACAAAAATCTTGTAACAGAATAATGTTATGTATATGAAAATCCTTTTTGTATTTTGTGAAAGCTAAAGCAATAAACAATTGCCTGAAATAACACCAAAAACAATTTTCCTTAGGAACTGGAGAAAATAATAAGTTCAGAGAAATTGTGCAAACACAGGTAAATTTTCATCATCAGTTTCATTTCTCCAGTACTTTTAAGTGTTTCATGTGGAATTCAAAATTTGTTTTCGACATTTCGTATTGTCAGAAATGATTTCTTTTGATAAGATATTTAAAACTGTCGCACAGAAGTTTGCAATACGATGCAAATAATTTCGGTACAAAGTTTCTGTCCGCTTGTTACTCGAACTCCTGTTGGATTCCTTCTTAACATCATCATCATCATCATCGTTATTATTATTATTATTATTATTATTATCATTATGAATATTATTATTATAACATTGATTGAAGTGAGTTTAATTAGAGCATGTGATTTTTTTTTTTAGCTGTTAGGTCGTATTTACTCAAAAATTAATTTCTGCAGCATAAACCTGTGAAATTGCTAATGAACAGAGTGTACCGAATTCCTTTTCTTCGAATCCCTTTTCTTATTTTTTCTTATTTTCTTATTATGTTTAATTATTTTACCGGATGAACAGTAGAATTTTGGCAGAGTGACTCTCAGCTCCCAGGAGTTTAATATTTCGTAGCACAACGTTTCGTTCTGTGAATCTATGAATATTCCGCATTGATGTATTTTATTTTTTAGGACAATTTTTTTTCTATTTTAAATAAAAAAAATTATTAGCATTATTATTATTATTATTGCTGTTGTTGTTGTTGTTGTTGTTGTTGTTGTTATTGCCATCTGTCAGGGCCGGTTGCCTGTTAAGTGGACGGCTTATGAAGCTTTGTTATAT